ATTTTTATTTAGTCTTGGAAAAATTCGAGGACTCGAAAGACATTATGTGCCATATAAAATATAATGTAGGAAACATATAAAAAGACATCTGCTGTTCCACAGCCAATTTGTAGTGTCAGCTGTGCCAAGCCTTGGTAACACTTTTATTCCTCAGAAGTGTCACAAGGCTGTTAACTTTGCACCTTCAAGTGGTGTTGAACCTCAAGAAGAAAACGCATTAATGAACCACTATTAGAAAAGTACAGACTCAGTCGTTTATCAGATTCAAGTGCACAGACTGTAAACAGCAGCACTGCAGCCAAAACAATGATGCTCTCATCTGCTGTCTCGTGCAGGTGTGGTGAGAGCTTCCAGCATCTTCCCCATCCTCAGTGCCATATTGCTTCTTCTGGGTGGAGTGTGTGTCGCTTCCAGCGGATTCTATAAAAGCAAAAGGAACATTATTCTCGGTGGAGGGATTCTCTTTGTAGCTGCAGGTAAGACTGCAGCTTTACTGTGGTTTGGGAAAAGAAATCTATATTTCCAGTCAGAGTTTGAAAAGAAGATTTTGTTTGAAGGTATGTTTGCTACATTTTTTATTAACACTAAAATGGGCAGTTTGTATTTTACCCCGGCTGACTTTGTCATCCCTAACAGATACCGTGTCCTTAAAATCTCTGTATTCTGTTACTAAAAAGAATTTCTGAACACTTAGATGCTTCTTTTTTTATTATATTCATGTAGCATGAGCCATGAAACACGACCTAGCATATACATTATACAGCTTAAGATAATCTGCAGTGCCCATGCCAGGATGAACCTATATCTATCAGTCGTAGAGTTAGATTAATGTCCTTATGTATGATGTGCAGATTGACTGTCATACTGTGCTTGCCTCTTCTCGGTGTAATTGAGAGGAAGCACTTCCAGAAAGCCTGTCTGCAAAACAATTTAATGAACCAGCAGGTTAATTTGACTCAGAGGAGCACTTGTATCTCTCTTGTATCTTTCTTTAGGCCTCAGCAACATCATTGGAGTGATCGTGTACATCTCAGCAGCACTGAGCGACATCTCCCCCAAGAAGGATGAGGATAAGAAGTGGCATTATTCCTACGGCTGGTCATTCTACTTTGGCGGTCTGTCCTTCATCCTGGCCGAGATGGTTGGCGTGCTCGCTGTCAATATCTACATCGAGAAGAACAAGGAGCTCCGTTGCCGCTCTCGCACTGACCTCTTCAAGAGCACAACGCACGCCATGCTTCGTCTGCCCAGCTACCGTTTCAGACGGCGCTCGCGCTCCAGCTCACGCTCCACTGACCCACCGCGTTCGCAGGAGACCTCGCCCGTTGGAGCTTCCAAGACCTTCAGCTTGCCACCATCTGCACCGCCATTCTCTGTGGCCACTCTGCCCAACCCCCACCACACCAGCAGCAGTGGGAGCGGAGGAGGTGGTGACATCTCCATGTACACCCTCTCAAGGGACTCCAAGCTAGGCAGCCTCGGAGGAGGTGCCCCACCTCTCTATGGCACGGTGGACCGTGCCACGCTCTACCAGCTCCACAACTACTTCCCAAAAGATTCCAGCGGCAGTGGCAGCGGTGGAGGAGGAGCGGGAGGAGGAGGAGGAGGAGGAGCAGTGATAAGCAGCAGTACGCTCCCTTCCCACTCCAAGTCCAACTTGGCAGCAGCGGCAGCTGTAGCCCAGAACGCAGCACCGCTGAGTACCTCCACATCAGCTGCTCCGACCACCCAGCCAGCCCCGATATCTACAGCCACCATGGAGCGGGACAGGGGCAACGTGGGAACCCTGGACCGACTGACAGCCAAAAGGGACCGGGATAGCAACTCAGATACACTAAACAGGAAAACGACACCAGTTTAAACTCAGAGAGAGAGGAGAGGAGAAATAGAGATGGAATTTAGAGAGGAAGAGTAGGGCTGTAAATGTGTGGGTGGCACGTCAACAATAAGGTTTCTGTCCTTGAGCCTGAGGTATCGAGCTGCCATAAATATTATTAATGTTATAAACAGTCATCAAACATCTGATGCTAAGAGCAAATTCATGACAGCCGCCTTAAAAATTGTCATGACTTTGAAACCTGTTTTGTTAATTGCACAGCAGGGGTACAGTGGAGGATTCGGGAAATGTTTCTTTTCTCTGTTTTTTATTCCTGAATTACTCACTAAATCATAGAGATACAAAACTCCCAGATGTGTAATAAAACAGCCTCCCAATGCAGCAGTTAGGTGCCTTGCCGAGGAGGCAGGGGAACGCTTTCGTTATTTATTTCCCTTATCTCAGTTTTGTCCGTTTCTACAAGGATATCTTTTTAAATCCTGAAAGAAACAGTAAAGGAAGCTTTGATGATAATCAACCCCGCTTACAAATCACTAATTTGTACACATCTTAGATCGGATTGGCCTTAAATCTACATTGTCTTTTCACAAAGCAAGACACAGAGTCCTTGCTTTTTGGTATTTTAAACTTTGCAACACTTTTTAACATAATAATTAAATTATAAAGTGGCCAGATGGTACAAGTCACAATTCTTTCTTCCATTTCTGTTTTAAAAGGACGAGAGCGTCACAGACGGGTACATTCTGCCAAGTAACAAGCTGCTCAGTGACAAGTTGACTGCCAATTGAAGGTCAACAGTAGCTCCTTAACCTCTGGACCCGAGAGAGAGCGACCTCAGCCATATCTAACGTAGATCAGAGGAGGCTGCCGCACTGTGAGCCTGATTATTTTTCACTGTGTGTCAAAGGTATTTACAGTGACAGATGGGCATTCACCACAGTTCTAAGGAAAGGAACAGCCATGGACTTACAGCTTTAGTCTTAACGCCTCCATTACTCCACTGCCAGTTGTCGCAGTAAGATACGGCAACATGATCGTTTGAGCAAGTAACTTATTTTGGCATCAAATCTTTCTAGTATTTGTTTAAACGGAAAGATTTGCGTTTCCCAAAGTGTTGCCCACAATTCTTAAACCATTGGAAAACTTTATAAAATGTAAATAAAAAACAGGAAGGAGACGAGGCAAATCTCATAAATAGATATTTTACTCACACATATTAAATGTTTAAACTGAGAAAAATCTGTCATTTTGAAATTGATGGAAGCAGTATGTCTCGAAAAAGCTGGGTCATTCCCATGTTTGTGTGCATCATCCTCTCTTACAATATTAGACGTAGGAATGCTGTTCTACATCTAATGTTGGATCCTAGTGACTCAAGTCCTGGGTCTCCTTTGTTGTGATGTCATGATGCGTCAGTTTTTTGTTTTGTTTTCCAGTTGGGAAAAGCCGGTTCAAGACATGAACTCCTCTGTGGTTTAGCATCTGGTTGGAAGCTTATGTTGCTCTAAAATCTGCATTAGTGCCAGTCTTTTTGCACTCCCTTTTTAACTGAACACTAACAGCAAGCCAGATGGTTACTTTCCCCTTTAGTCTGGAGGATGCCATGTCCTTGTTTTCCGAAAAGAAATTTTACATTTCAATTTATCTGACCTCTCAGTTTTCCACTTGGTCCCTTTTAAATGAGCATTGGCCAAGAGAAGTTGACATGATCTAAGCTTGCTTGACAGAGATTTAACCTGTGTTTGTGGATGGCACACTGATCTGTGTTTGCGCACAATGATTCCTAGATGTGTTCCTGAGCACATCCAAGGATTTTCATGACAAATTCATGCTTGCTTTTAAAGCAGTGCTCTGCGAGGGCCCAGAGAGCACAGTCGCCCCGTATTGATTTTTTGCCTTGTTGTGCACAGATTTCCCAAGAGTATCTGAAAGTTTTGATGATATTATGTAGCGCAGACGATGAGTCATCAAAGTCTTTGCAGTTTTGTGCTGAGGAACATTATTCGGATATTGTAACCCTACATGTCTAAGCTTTTTATTTTTACTCAGGTTACTGACCTGATGTGAATTAACCTAATTAGTCCCTCCACCTGTTTCTTTTTAATAATCCTCACTTTTCCAGGTATTTGTTGCTCCCATCCCAGTTTTTTGAGACATGTTGTTGCCACTAAATTCCAAATCTATTTTCCAGGAAATAGTAAAATGTCACTTTTTAACAGTTGATATATTTTCTGTGTTCTATTATGAATAAGATATAGTTTTATGAGATTTGAGTATTACTATATTCTATTTTTACTTACACAATGCATATTTGGCACATCTTTTTTCAAACATTAAAAAAAATGTGTCCAATTTACTATTTTGAAAATTAATTTGCACAGAGAGCGCTTCCCTTCTCATGCTTCCCCAACAGCAGACTCAGTATATCTTTCAGCTGCCTCTCCAGAGAACCTCTCATTGTTACATTGCTACAATCTTAGATTGACATTAGTCTGCTCTGGAGACCAACAGAGAAAATGCTGGAGAGACACCATAATACAACAGACTTTAATTTATTTGCCATAATTGCCAGTTAATAAGGGAAGAGCCAAAAATAACTTTATTTTTAAAAATAAGACAACAATAAGGAAGTGATAACCATGGTTAAAGTTGGAACATAATCACCATCACTCACTCACTTACATCTTCCTGCTCATGATTCATGGTCATTTTGTCATCTGGCAGTGGAAACATTGTTGGATGCCATTTGAAATTTGAAAGCGCTCGTACAGCTGGACGTTTATGCACTTTATGTGTGTTTTTAAATGAGTAAAACTGATTCCAGGGTTTGTATGACTGCTTATGATAACGATTTGATACCGAAGGCTCCAAGGCAGTATCTGTTGAATGTCCCGCAAAGGGCTGCAAAAACCAAGGACATGGTGGGGTTCAATTCAGTTTACACTCAGGGGATGGAGATTTAGTTAGAATCAGAAGTTACAAATTACTCTAATATAAGAGATCAGCCATTTTACTCAATATTTAAAAGTGAGCAAAGCAAAGAACGTTCTAACCATTCAGTCAGATTTGAAGTAAAAGCCTATTTTTGAGGGGGTTTATGAAATGTTGCCTGAGATTTCTAAGAAGAAAATTCTACAGCGAGACATGTACCGCATAACATGTGCTCTAAATCTGATTACTGGACTGATATGTAAAAGTCAGACTGCACTTCTGAATCAGCTGCGTTTGAAAATGAATTCAACCCAACCCCGGTGACAGAAAGTCGGAGGAAGAGGGAAAGAGAAACGAGCGCACACACCAGCTTCCGTTCCTCTTCCCTCGGTCTCTTTATTAGCTATAACTATATACTATTTCTGAAACTAGAATAATAAATGTATTATTGAGTATATTATCAACCCATTCACTAAAACAAAAGCACATAATGTCTGTAAATGGTAATCTTTGGGTTGTCTTTTCATTCTGAGTGATTATCATCTCTAGGTTACATGAGATTGTAACTCCTTGAATATTATTATCATGTTGCTGGTGTTTCTATGATCGTAATGGTTATTGCAGGGTATACATTTTTTTGTAATATTTTTATATTCGTTTCGATGACTTTTTATTTTTCTTTCTCTTGCTTATGTACACTAACAGTCAGTGGTGTCACGTGGAAAGCATGTGAACAAAAGTGAGAGGGTGTGTAAATTCATTTATATATCATCTTATTCATTTTATCAGCTTTGATTTGTTCGGGGAAAGTTGACTGAGCATGCATGCTCTGTTTCAGCAACACCCTGCTTCACCCTCACATCGCTGGGACTGGAAGCTGGCCGATAAAAGCTTCCCTGTTGGGTCAGTTTAGGAGTGGCTCCCCTGGGACAATTGGGTGTTATGTGCCTTGCTCAGGGGCACGTCAGTATTTGAAAGAAAGTAATTTTTCTTTTCTAACCATTCTACATATAACTAGACAACTTTCTGGACCACAGTTTGTTTGTTATTTTTGCTGTTGTTGTTGTTTTTTACCCAGTTGTCACTTTGAATGTGTATAATCTTTTTAGTGTAAATGTTTTTTTTCTATTCTGTTTACATGTAATTAATTCTTCCGTTGTCTTTTAGAGAAATATTTTTGAAACGTTTGTCTTATTTGCGAATAAGGTTGGGCAACTGGATCAATAGGCCCATATAACCTGTCAGCTGTTTATTATTTATGTCATTTTGTTTTTCTAATTTAGTGGTCTGCCTCTATGAAAATTCAGTTTGGCAAGACGTCGAGGTGTAAATCACAGTTACAATTAGCAGCGTTAGGATGTTCGCGTTTATTTTCTTGAGAGTGAGTTGTCATGGAGATCTGACATTATATGGTAGTGATGGCGCTGCAGAATGTCGAGTTCCTGTGAAAGTCTTTATTGTCCGACAACTTTCCAAGCTAACAAGTGATTCCAGAGCTATGCTATGTAAGCTAGCTGCATGTTGCACATCAGTACATTATAGTTTTCTGCACCTGATCACTTAAAAACCCTTTCAGAACCTGAAAGGTATCCTTCTACCAACTGCTTCATTTGGGTCTAACAGCTTGCAAATTTAGTCCAGTTTAAAATAATTCCTCATAACTATTTTGTTTGGGGTTTTTGGCAGTGAACAAGAGTGTGTGCAGCTAGGGGGAGAAGTGGCTGCTGCATACACGCCCATCCTGTATAATATAAAGGCAACTGCTGATTGTTGGACTGACGATGGCCAGCTGGCAGATTTTACCACGTCGCCCGGCCCTGTTTCCTAATGTTAGATTTTTCTTTGGTGTTTTCTCTTTCTCTAAACTATTTTACTCTCCTTCCATTTTATTCTTCTATAACCCTGATCCTCATTTCTCTCCGTCATCATTTTGTCTTCATTTCGTTGTAGGAAATGAATTGATGTTTTACTTTCTAAACATTACCAACGTAGCCTAATAATCAGTGTTTTTAATGTTCTGACTAGTGTATAACTGTAAGCGATAGACTTTATATTAATCTATTTATTTTGGTGGTGGTATGTATAGATATTCTTAATGTTATATTGTTTCAGAGTTCCTACACCTGTAACTTTGGGCTATAAAAGTCTTTATGCCTGCCTGTGACATATGCTCAGTAGCCTAAGTGCTGGCAAAGTAAATGTGGTCTGTGTTGGTGCTGTCTATGGTTTTTACACAATAATCTTTGAGTACAACAAACTACATCTTTGTTACAGAACTAAATCGACTCTAGAGCACGTCCTAATCTTGTAGTTTTGCTTTCTGCAAGATGTTTATGAAAACATGCTCAAAAGCAGAGATCTCGTTCTTTCGTTTTTAATTCATGTCCTGATGTGAAAGCCATTTTAAAGCCAGCGTGAGTCACCAGGTTCTTTTCCCAACACCTAGGCTGCTGACACAAGTCAAACATGAAGCTCTTCAGATGGAAAACTAGTAAATTTCCACTCAGCAGACTGATACATGGAAGGAACAATATGGAAAAGGGGAAGCAATACAATACAATATACTGATCCTCATTGGTAAAGACAAAAAATATAAGGTATATATAAATATATACATATATAAATATATAGATATATTCAATAAAGTTCTCTATGAAAAATGGTAGCGTCTTGTGCATTCTTGAGTGCAAATAAAATTCAAGGTATTATTGTTGAACTTGGTTAAACTGATTATCTGTTCCCGTACATGTGCATCATTGTCCTTTTTTTCACCACAGCCAATATGACTGTGGAACTATAGTACAGTATTTAATTTATTATTTCATGTTATTTATTATTGTTTTATTTGGCTTTCAAACACCCAGACAAAAAGATTAATATTAAAGTTAAAAAATCAGAGTAAAAATCAAAGCAAAAAAATTGTAAAACCATGGGAGTCAAAAGCTTGGGGAAACATTTTTGCTTCTTTTATGCTTGGAAATGTATTAGACTTAATTAATATCTTGTTTACTAACTAAACTTGTTGAAGAATTGTAACATTTTGTCCCATTTGTTTATCACAGACTGGAAAAATAGGCTCATTTATAGCATCTACCTTTTCAGTCTGTAATGCAAATGTGGTAATTCTTTGTGCTAAATGATATAATGCTACTGCATGACACAGAAGGTGTCCACACCAAATCCAACGTGATGAAAAGCAAAGTTTAAGCAGCGATTTGCAAGTAATTCCAAGCACTGTGGGATAATACCTGAAGCACAGCTAAGGG